GGCGGCGACGATGATGGCGCGGTGCTTCGGGGCTCCTTGCGCAGAAATCTCGGCGAACCAGGCCATGAGCGAAGGAGGGATCCGGGCTTTGGTGGCGTAGGTGAGGAAGTAGAAGCTCAGGACGACGCGGTCGTTGGGCGGCCAGGCGCAGAGGACGGCGAGGAAGAGGCCGTGGAAGGCGGCGCTGCCGATGCTGACCTGCCAGCGCCAGTGCTTCCAGTCGGAGAGGGCGTTGAGGCCGACGGTCGTGACGATCTGCAGGGCGTAGCCGCCGAGCGGCAGCACGTTGACCTGGTAGACGCTGTAGCGGCGGGACCCGTCGGCGTTGGTCAGCGACTCGAGGTACAGGACAAAGTAGGCGTTGGCGCGGTGCGCCCAGGCGTTGAGGGCAAAGGCGAAGAGGAAAAAGTAGGTGACGGGGTGGACGACGATCTGGCGGAGCTTGCGGCGCAGGGCCGCCGGGCGCAGCATCGAGGACGTCTTGGCGCCGAACGAGGCCATGCGGTCGCGGGCAAGGACGCGCTCGGCGGGGGAGAGCCAGATGGCGCGCGTGATGGCCGGGCTGTCGGGGATCGTGAAGAAGGCGATGAGACCCTGGCCGATGGTGGCGGCGCCGGCAATGACGAAGAGCCACTGCCAACCATGCAGGCCGTGGACGCCGTCCATGTTGCGGTAAAGGGCGGCCTGAAGGGCACCGAGGAACATGGCGCCTGCGACGTCCGAGACGGTGAAGACGGCCAGGCGCACGGCGAGCTCGCGCGGCGTGTACCAGTTGAAGATGAGGGCGACGACCGAGGGCCAGAAGGCGGCCGACAGCAGACCGAGGAAAAAGCGCAGCGCGTAGACCGTCTCGGCGCTTTTGGCCTTGTAGGTGAAGAGCACAAAGAAGCCCCAGGCCATCTCGCAGAAGGGCAGAAAGAGCGACGGCCGCAAGCGTGTCTGGATGAGCTGGCCCGGCACGAGGCCGATGGCGTAGCCGATGCTGAAAAAGGTGTTGAAGAGGACGAGCTCGTTGCCGTAAAGCGACAGCGACTCGCGCATACCCGAGACGTAGGCCTGCGTCGTCGCGCTCTGGTCCATCTCCTTCATGATGCCGGCGAGGAACATCCAGGCAAGCAGGAAGACATCGAGCTTGAAGACAAGCACATGGCGCGGGTTGCGAAAGTAGGGGATGACCTTGGCGATATGTTTGAAGACGCCCGTGACTTCGGGTTCGGCCGTCGCGTCGTCGTACGTCGGCGTAGCGACCGTATTGCCGTAGGAATCAGCGGCATCATGGGCCTGTGCCACGTTTTCCGATGGTGCGATGGCCATCCTGCGTGGACTCGGGCAGCGAAAGTGCTGGAATTGAGGCTACAAGATGTCGTCTCAAGCCATCATCCCCAACAAAGACCATGGCCGAAGACCCTTCTTATCATGAGATCGACCAACCGCCACCAGCTAGCTTCACAGCATGGCACCAAGCTCGCCATAGTCTCGATATCGTGCCCGCTCCGACGGCTGCCAATCACAAAGGGCTCAAGGGTCTGATCGGCGGGTCGCCCGACTCGTGCCTGTGGGGAACGAAGCGACCCACGGTCGAATTGAGGGCGTCGCTGGCAGATGGCGCGATCGCCCTGCTGAACGTCGACATGGCGGGTAGACTCCGCGGGGGAAGAAATGTCGGGCGGCTGCCGACGACGTGAGAAGTGATCATGGTCTGGGGATTGGGACGCAGCAGTCGAGGATTCTTTCTTGGTAATGGTGATATGGTTTGTCGGGATGAGGTGATGGGCAACGCCTGGAAAATCATCTCCATTGAATAATGTTGGTCGAGACCATGGTCCATGTGTGGGCTGGCCGATAGCAGGGAACCATGGCAGGGAGGAAAAAAAAATCATGCATGATTCGCATATAGTCTCGAGTCAAGAGGGTCGTATCGTGCATCCTGTTGAGCTGCTTCACATGCACGTAAGAAGTTTGATATGTCTTGCACGGCTTAGATCGCCATGTCACTTAGGAAGAACAGCACAAACACCTGCGATGAAAGAAATAGTTATTCCGGCAAGACGACATGCCATGTGAGATTGCTTCAACCGCTCCATACGCCGTACTCCATGCATGCATGCACTCACTACCTTTTGCACTATGCCATGACCAGAGATGAAACCGACCATGCTGACTGACATTGGTTGCGCAATTTACCTTATCCAATGTTGAACTCGCTTGCGCTGTTCATGACGCTCTTCATCTTCATCTTCATCCTCCTCTCCATCTCGGCCAGGTCCGTGTCGGCATCGAACAGACTCTCCCGTGCCGAGTCGCCGGCACCCTGCTTCCTCTTCTTCGACGCCGCCGCCTTCATGGCCGTCTTCTTGCCATCGTGCCCACCACGTCCGACGCCCTGCGGCGCCTCGCGCAGTCCATAACTCTTGGCTGTGTGTCCGAGGTGCAGCTCGGTAATGTCAAAGAACTTCCGCTCCTCCTTGGTGTGTGTCGCGTAGGCCCGCACGTGCGAACGGAAGCCCTTGCGAGCCGCCTCGAGCAGTGCCGCGCCTGATGGAATGAGCAGACGCTGCTCAATGTGTAGCTGTAGAGCCTCCGCTCGCTGCGAGAAGCTGCGGCTGTCCTCTGGTGATGGCTTGGCGTCCGTGTCGACGGGAAATGGCATGTGCGTCGCGAGGCCACGGTGCAAGACGCCCTCGAACGATTCCGCTTTGGGAACAGATGTCGCCGTGGTGAGATAGTCGACGTAACCTTCCTCGCATCCGGGCTGCAGGAATAGCACGGCTTTACCGGGGCGACCGGCACGGGCTGTACGACCGATACGGTGCACATGGTCGGCGGCGCTGAAGGCCGGGTCGTACTCAATGACGAGCTCGACCGACGGCACGTCGAGACCACGGGAGGCGATATCGGTGGTAATGAGCACGCAAGGTTCGGTGCAAGTCGAATAGGCGGCCAGGGTGCCGGTACGCACGGGTTGTGGGAGGGAGCCGTGAAGCTTGTGGAGGACGATGTTGGGGTTGGCCGGGGATGCGAGGTAAGCCGCAGGGCAACAGTGTTGGCCGTGACGGCCGTCGACTCGGTCTTCTTGTCGGCCTTGGCGGTTCTTTCAGCAAGTCGAAGTGATAATCTACCGAGTCGGCGCAAGACATGAAAATAATGGCCTTCATGACAGATCCCCGACGGCAAAATGTGGATTTCAGCAGGGGCAATCAGCGACACGAGACGCAGCTTTTGCCGGCACAATGTAGTGTGCTTGCTTGAGCTGCGCAGGCGCCGAAGAATGCGACTTTGCTGGCTGCTGCTCCCTCGCCCTCCCCGTTCACAACCTCGCCTTCTGCCGGGATGTGGAACGGCATCCTCCAAACTGATCTCGCCCAGCTTTTTGCACATCCCATCTTTCATTGTTGCCGAGCAGAGCACCGTCACACGGGCGCTTGGGCCAGCAGTTCCAGTGAGACACCATCCTTTGTCCTGGTGCTGAGCTCCCCGGCTCGGATCTTGCCGACAATCTCGCGGAAGGTCGGCTTCAAAACCCATCCTCCATGAGGCGATCACCTTTCGTCGAGCACGAGCCATCGCACCGACCCGACGTCGAGGCTTTTGTGTTGGCCAAGTGATCGGTCAGTCTGCCCAGGCGTCGCGATGAGAATGTTGACGCCCTTTCGCAGTCGGCTCTTTTCCGAGTGCTTGCTCTCACCACCGATGACAGTTGTGCTGACTAGCCACTGCGGGCAGCAGCTGCTGCAGCACAAGATCAATCTGTCGGCACAGTTCGCGCGTGGGCGCCAGGACCATGGCGAAGAGACCAGAGTCACGACGCACCTTGCCCTCGTCGGCCACGGCGAGGATACGCTGCAGAATGGGCAGCAGATAGGCGAGCGTTTTGCCGGAACCTGTCTGCGCCTGGACGAAGGCGTCGCTGTCCTCCTTGATGAGCTGCGGGATGACCTTGGCCTGAATAGCTGTCGGTGCCTTGAGCTTGACCTTGCCGGACAGATCCTGAGCCAGGCGGCGAGAGATTCCGAGGGCGTGGAAGCTGGCGGCCTCCTCGGAGAGAGGTGCATTGGACGGTTGGGCTGGTTCGGCGTCGGGTTTGGATTCGGCGTTCGGGTCGTCAAAGACGGTGCGCGCCATGGGATTGGATGTGAATAGCTTCGACGTGACCTGTCCCTTGGCTAGACCAGTGCCCTCCCGCTTGCCGATGACTATGCTTCCGGGCGGCAGCTTGCCGGTCTGGTAGGAGGAGGGCATGTGAGGGTCGGCTCGCATCCGTTTCGCGGGACGCTGGTCGAAATCATCGCCGTCGCCGCCATTTTGTCGGGGGTTTGGCTTCGAGCCGGGGATGTAGCGTTGTTGGCTCGAGGGGAAGGCTTCGGTGGGCTTCGTTGTCTGGGGGGTGGAGGATCGATTGGCGTTCCGTTGCGCCTTGAGGCGATCTCTCCATTTCCCGCCCTGGAATTTGACCTGCGTCTTCGCGGGAGCATCGCTGACCGCGAAGTTGAGGATCATGCCATCGTCCGCCATTTTGTCCGTGGCCCTATGTGGTGGTGAGATTGAGCAAGCAAGCGGTGGCAGCGAGAGCAGTCGCAGCGTGTTGGGGTCCTGCCGCATGAAGAAAAAATCATGGCTTATCACGATAAGCTTGTGAGGTGGGTCGACCCCGCGGACCCCGAAGGATGCATGAGAACGTGTATATGTGTATGTAATAAAGCGGGCATATTTGCTTTCTGGGGTGTCTACTGAGAACATGATATTGGTGATGTTTGTCTGCGTGCTCAACTTTGCTATCTATTTGCTCGGTTGAGTCTAGCACTTTGCGTGAATATGGATGTTCTCCTGCGCTGATGTACTTTTCCCGCCCGTGACGTGTCTAAATCCATCCCGCGTACTCATCGAGGCTCTCACTCCGCACACCATCAACCTCTCCCTGGACACGGAGCAGCTTGACCTTGCCACCCTTCTTCGCGCTCCACTCCTCCAGGAAAGCCTCAATACGCTTCTCGGTCTCGGTTCCCTCCTCGACAAGCAGCGCCAGGGCATCGAAGCCGCCAGCACCGGGTACGACACCTCCAAACACGCCCTCGACGCCGCTCAGCGCATCCAGCAGCTCGCTCTGACTCTCCGGCTCGATCGGCACGCCACTCGCCGCGCCCATCGCCCTGACGAGCTCCCTGACGTCGCCGACGGCCTTGGAAATCGCCGCGGTGCGCCCCTCGCGCAGAACCTCGGCCAGCGCCTCGTTCCTCGCCTGCAGGGCGTCCCAGAGCGCCTTGCTCGCCTCGGGCTGCGCCTTGCGCCACGCCAACACACCCTTGACCATGCCGACCGTCTGACTTCCGCAGTCGACGTCGCACATGCGCAGCACGACGCCCGCGGGCAGCTTCACCTCGCCGCCGACCTCCGTGTCCCACACGTCCCGCGCGTCGACGCGCTCGACGAGCTTCTCCGCGAAACCGGCGGTGCCGGGCGCCGGCAGGTCCGAGAGCAGCTCCGGCGAGAATCGCCTGTACCGGCAGGAACCGAAGACGGCGGCCGCTACGTCGAAGCCGCTGCCGACCTTACCCTGGGCGGCGCAGTGGGCGGCCTGTGCGAGGTTGTGCAGCGTGTGGCGGCCGGCCTCGGAGGTGAGGTCAAAGAGGGACGTAGGCAGATAGTGCGTCAGCAGGGCAGCGGTGAAGGACGTCACGAGGGCTGCGGAGGAGCCCAGGCCCGTCTTGTGTGCCTCGGCGAGGGTGTGAGGGTAAGGCGCGTAACGGCCAGTCGCGGGGACGGCGTTCGGGGGCAGCGTGTAGTAGTCGTTGTCGGCTAGAATGGTCAGACGAGCGGAGGCGAGGCTGTGAGGGTTGCTTTGGCGACCGATCTGGTGGATGTAGGTGAGAGCGTAGGTGAGTGTTGTTTCTACAAAGGGGTTTGGTGTGATGGAGGCGCCACTGGACTGTTAGCTTGAGGCCATGTGTATTGTGAGGAACATGATTGAACCAATAGCTGTATGGTTAAGCCGCATTTTTTGGCTGCACTTTATGTAGAAGCCGAACCTTTGGATGCAGCTCGCGCGCCCATGAGTATGCTGATTACTGAGATGTTGGTCCAGTCGAAGACCCTAACTTCCGTCCTGAGAAAGAAAAGCCAAACATGCCATGATGAACTTGAAAGACATCCCAATCATGAGACCTAATAGACCAGCACTCACCAGCCAAGAAATGCAGTCAAAATGCCCCCCTCTGCCTCATCCCCAATCCGCTCACTCGAGCCGAATTCCCCCTGAAGCATTCGCATTCCCAACTGAACTCTGCGGTGACACGGACACCGGAGAAAAGGCACCAAACCTCGCATTCAGCAGAAGAGCAAGACAATAAAAAATAAGAAAAAAAAAGGGAACAAAAGCACTCACACCTGCAGCTCCGTAACCTGCACGCCCCCTTCCCCGAGCCGGAACCCATACCGCCACCCGGCACCCTCAAACTGGGGGCTGCTCACGACAACCTCGCTCAGCTGCACGCCCTCGACACCGGACGCCAGCTCGCCGGCGAGCACGCTGATACGCGCACTCAACCCGAATACGAGGCCCGTGTAGCCGCGGTCGAGGACAAGGTAGCCGCCCGCCAAGAGGACCTTGCCTGGGGCGGAGACGGCGGTCGCTTTCGAAGGCATCATGAGTGGTGTATGCGTTTGCGTTCGATGGAGGGCAGGAGGCAAGACGGCGGGCCGATGGATATTCTCTGAACGTGCGTGTTTCACTGAATGCCGACTTTTGCAATTGGATTTGACGGCGTAGAGGTGATGTCGAGGAGTGAAGTAAGAGGTGACGAGAGGATGAGGCCATGAAAGACTTTGGTGAGCACGGTACAGGGGAGGGGTAAAAGACCCCGCGATGGTGCTGGATGCGCCGCACGGTCCACTTCGCACCCACAGAACACCACATCAACCATTCCACGTAAGTCGAGCATGCCATATCAAGGCATGTCACGAATGATGCTTTCATACAGAATGAACGTCAACAAGTTGAATTAGCTTGCCGATATAATACAAGCAGCAGGATCCCTGATCTGCAATGATCTCCTCCGCCGATCCTCTAGCTGCGTCCTCTGACGCTCTTTGCTTGTATATAGGGGAGATGGTCTAACCAGGCGCGAGGCCTCACCGGGAACGCCGTCCCCCGCCGCGCTGTATATGCCGCGACTGTTTTATCCCTCCGCAAACGCCATACACAAAAACTCGAGCAACGTCAAGTCGACACAAGGAGACGCCGGCGCCGCGCCGCTCCACTGCGATGCGCACACCAGCAGTACCACCCATCGTACCCAGACACCCCAGTCTCCGTTCCCTCTGCCAATCGCACTCATGGGGTATCAAACAAGGCAGACGAGGGCGAAAAACAAAGGAAAATCGCGAGAGGAAAACAACCACGCCATCGAAAACTCGCTCCAAGACCGCAACCCCTTTACGCAACAACTGCGCCCTCCTCACCACCACCGCCGCCAAGCAGCTCCAGCACCTTGTTGACCACGGCACTGGGGTAGCCCCGCGACAGCATCTCACCAACCACAATCTTGGCCTTCTCGCGCTCCTCTGTGGCAAGGAACGCTCGCGTCATCGCCTCATATGTGCTAGGCTCGCGCTTGCTGTGGCCGACAGCATTGTAGATGGCGTACGCCCGATCGATGTTCTTCTCAGCAGCCCAGCCGTGGATCAGAGTGTTGGCAATATAGGGCGTCAGCTCAATGCCACGACGGCGCATTAGACCCAGGATGGGCTCCGTGTCGGCAACACGGTGGTTGGCGACCATGGCTTCAAAGAGTGCTTGGAACAAACTGGCATTGACCGGCATAGAGTGATCCTTGACAACGTCATCAAACACCTTGCGGGCGCCCTCCATATCATGGAGCACGCAACCGCGTGCGTGAATCAGAGAGGCGTAGTGCACGGGCTCGGGCTTCTGCCCGGAAGCGCGGATGGTCTCGAGTACCTTCTCAGCAGCATCCATGTCGACAGGCTCCAGCGTGGCGTGGGTGTCGACAAGGAGCTTGTTGGTGTGTGCCGTGGGCATGATGCCCCTGGCGACCATGCGCTCGTAGTAGGCGAGAACCTTGGACTTGTCACGCTTGGTGGTCAGGAAGAACTGCATCATACTGTTGTAGGGCGCAGGGCGCGCCTTGTAGTTGGGCATCGCCTCCCATTTCATCGAAAGAGCTGCTCGGCAAACTTCTCATCACTCACACGGCACAGAGCGTTGACAATGGTACCGTACGTGACTGAGGTGGGCTTGATGTCGAGTGCACGCATCTCGGCGAAATAGAACAGACAGTCGTCAATCCGGCGAGCCTTGCCGAGCTTGCCGATGAGAGCGTTGTAGAGGAATGAGCTGGGCTCAACACCCTCAGCCTTGGCGCGGTGGAAAATCTTGACAGCCTCGGTGGCCTCGTCGAACGTCTTGGTGGATTCCTTGAGCGTCGTGATGTACAGACCGAAGGTGTTAGCAGACGGCGTCGAGCCCATCTCGAGCAGTTCCTGGTGGAACTGCTCTGCCATATGGCGGTTGCCCATGGTGAGACAGGCACCAACCATGGCATCAAGAATCGAGGACCATCCGTAACGGACCACTGCGTACTGAGGCAGCATGGGAACGTCGGTGCGCGCCATGGCGAGAATGTCGTGGCACAGATCCATCTTGCCGTCGCGCGCAGCAGCCGAAATAAGCTTGGCGTACGTGATGTAGCGAGGGTGGCGGCCCGCCCGGCGCATGTTGCGGAAACGAGACAGAGCTTCGTTCAGGCGGGGGCCCTTGCGGCCGTGGCTGCCCTCGAGCTCATCAGAGATCAGGGACGAACCCTTGAAGTCGGTGTTGTGGGCATAGGGGTCAAAGGTGTCCTCGAAGCTGGAAACGGTAGCCGTGGATCCGTAGGGAGAGTTGGTGAAGGCCTGCTGAGGACCGCTCGAGACCTGCGACGCCATCTCACGGGGGTCGACGACACCTCGCACAGCCATGAAGCGGTGGATGAAGTCAAGACCCTCCTCAATCTCCTCGGCGCTCTGAGGGCTGACGGCGCGAATCCTCTGGAACATAAACTCGGACTGGGCCAGTCCTTCAGCAACCTGGCCCGAGCCGATCATGGCAACCGCAAACATGGCAGCTGGATCAATAAACGCCGGAGTCACCTGCATCTCGGGGGCACTGAGGACGTGCCAGTACCTAGCGGCAGCTGCGACGTCACCCTGGCGGACGCTCATGGCCAAAAGTGCCATGGCCGAGGTGGCAGTTTCGGGATAGTTGAGAGGTACATTGGCAAACGCGGTCATGGCAGTGTACTTGTCACCGCTGTCGGCAGCACGGGTGGCGACATTGTTCATGGCGCTCAACCTGTCGACACTGCTTTCGCCCTCAATGAGCTGGGCCCACTGGAGAGCGTCCTGGAAGATGCCGCGCTCGACAAAAGCCTGGACAAAGCCAGAACTGACAAGAGCATCCTTGATGTCCGCGGCGCGGACACCATACTCTTGAATGATCTTCTCGTAAAACTTCATGGCGCCCTCGACCTTGTCGGAGATAACGTAGGCGTCGATGACGGCGGCGTAAATGTGCGAGTCCATGCGGTCCTGAAGAGAAGCGTCGCCGTTGTCGTCGGCGATGGCAAGCGCACGGTACTCGTCGTACACCTCGACAGCGCTGATGAGATCGCCAGTAGCAGCAAACGAAGTGATCATGGCGGGGAACATGGCGGCGTAGGGCACGACTCGGTTCAACTCCATGTGCTCATAGAGACGAAGCATCTCGGAGCATCGTCCGGCGCGAGCACAGGCGGTGATGAGCTGGTAGTAAGATTCGGCAGAGTACGCAGCGCGGTACGTGGTGACCGATGTCTCAAACATCTTCATGGCCCAGTCCAGAGGGTCGTCCTCGGACAGAATGGCGTGATCGAACTCCTGAGAAGCGAACATGAACTTGCCAGGCTCGTCCATGCCACCGAAGCGAACGCGTTTGTCCTCGAGGTCCTTCTTCAACGAAGCCACCTCGAGAGAACGCGAGGCAAGGAATCCGACGAGGATGTTGTACGTATCACTGTCGGGAATCGCCTTCTGCTGGAGCATGTGAGTATAAACCTCGCGAACCTTGGAGACGATTTCGTTCTTCTCGGTGGTCAGCTGAATGCGCGACATGAGCAGCGCATTGTAGGCCCCGGCGATGGGCCTCACACCGGCAACAAGCATAGCCTCGAAGACGGCGGGAATCTCAGCCCAGCGACCATCTTGCGACAGCTTGGTCAGGTGGTCAGCATAGGTTTGGGACTGAGGGTCGATCGGGGGCGTCGCTGAGCGTGCGATGCTCGCCGGGGTGTAGGAGCGCTCGATTTCAGGCGTCAGAGCGCGTTCGAGTAGGGCCGGATCGATGGGTGTCCCGGTCCGGACTGATTCGGCCACGGCCTCTTCAAGAGCCTCTTGGCGCTCCCTGATCTCAATCTCCTTCTCGATGGCAGCGTTGATGTGAGCAAGGGCTGCCTCGGCCTCACGCGGGACTGACGGGACATCTGCATCCTGTGCGTGGGCCTCGGCCTCGAGCTGCTCCTCGCTGGCTAGCTGCCTGGCATCGCCAACGAGGATGGAAGCTGGCGAGGGCTTCCATTCGATCTGCTTCTGGAACTCAAACTGCGTCCATTCTTCTTCTGCGACCTCGCCAGCCTCCCCGGCAGCATGCTGGTTCTGGAGGTGTTCAAAGTATGCGTCTAGCCCTCCATTGGTGCTGACCTTTTGGGGTCGATGGTCGAGCGAGAGACCGGCAGCGGCACGCTCGGTGTTGAAGGCGGGACTGGAAGTGGGTGCCCTGAAGACGACCGAAGCGGGTAGTGTGCCTGCGGGCGAAGGAGGGACGGTTCTGAGAGTTGAGGGCGTGAGGGTGTGTGACGGCGACAAGAGACTGAGCGTATCCGTGGCCGAATGACTTTGCGATTCCTTGACGGAAAAGAGCCTGGTGCAGGTTGCCAAAGATGGTGGGCATTTAGACGGAGGGAAGGGAGGGGATCTGGAACGTGTTAGTTCAGGAACACGCAGAAAGTGCCTGAGGTTTGAGCTGGGCGCAACGCGTATCACGAGCGTGATGCTGATGATGCTTTGCCACAACATCCGAGGAGGCCGTGTGCATCAGGCTCCAAGACGACAGCGCGGCTGACAAGCAAAGGCCTGAGGCCGGTGATGGGGTGCGGGTGGCACTCACGAAGGAAGGGTCTATGCGCGATTGCAGGTTCATTTAACAGCAGCTGGGCCGTCAAACAAACGCGCGTACCGGATGAATTGATGTAATGATGGGTTTGGGGGGAGGGGTGGAAACGGCGTGTTGGATGAACAGGACGATGCAGGGAAAGAATGTGCGAAAGGACCGCTGAAGAGGAAAAAGTGTGTGGGTGAGCGATCGAGGAAGTCCGGGTCGTGATGATGGAGGGAGGATCTGGGTTGGTGGAGGTAGGTACGTGGGTACCTTGGTACTTTGGGTACCTGCTGGGGTGTGGCCCTCGCCAGGTACTGCTGTAGTCGTGACCGGGGGGATGGCAGGGTGGGGATGGAGGAGGGGCCACCAACGGTAATGCTGCGGGAAGACGTGGTGATGATGAGCAAGAAGGAAGCAGTGATGGGCGACGAGCTGGCAGAAAATGGCAGGGCCTGGTAGGCTTGTGGGGCCGGCTCTCTGACGCATCCAAGACTGGGGAAATTTTTCGCGTGGACTCGGGAGGAAGGCACCAGTGGCAGGTCGGCATTGGTGGTAGAACGGGGCGAAGCCTGCCCTCCAAGCTTCCTGCCCTGGCCGGTACAGGGAAGGTGCGAGGGAGCCAGCTGTGACTCAGGCAGACGGGAAGACGCGTCCTGAGGCCGACTGGCCGAGGGTGTTCGGACTCTTGCCTGCGCCGCTTGGCCGTGCCCGCCACAGCTTGCTTTTGGCGCAGCATTTGCTTCTGATGACCCAAGAGGCCGAACAGCATTGGGTCGGCAGCTCCAAAAGCACGGTTCTTGACATGGTGAGGCCGTCTCCCATCAGCTCGCGCAAACCCAATCGCCTTTTTCCAGGCCTCAGCTGCTGTCAGGGGCATGGACGACCTACATGAAGGTATCTCGCTCAGCAAACTGGACTTGGAATTGGACATGGGCCCCCGAATCAGCACGTCGCCGTCGAGTCGCGCTGGCACTGGGCGCTCGATCCGCATGTCGACGTGCGCGTCATCACCAATACACCGATATCACCGGCCAGGGGCCGAGGGGGGGGCGAAAACATGATCACGGAGGATCCAATGCCATACTCTCCCTTCTGTTCCCGTCCAGCCGGTTCTTCCCCCGCAGATCGGGACGCAGATACGCGCCAGGCTGCCATGACCACAAAGCTCTCGTCACATTCAACGCTCAGTCTGATGGGCATGCCATACTGGCTTGTCGCCTGAGGATGCATTGTTCCACCGGGTGTATGCATATCTCGTACTTCGCATTGTTAGCATCCCTCCACGGCTTCGACGCTGCTGACATTGTGCACCTTGCTGAGGGCTGTCAGAGTTCGACACCAGGAGCGGATCAGCGGGGCACGCGACAGATTCAGAGCATTCAGCTCCTTCTCTCAGGGGGCTGTCCCCTGTATTCCGTGCCCTGTAAGTCCCCCCCATGGCGAGAAGAA